TATTTTATATTTTATATATTTCTTTTAATTATTATATTAATATTTTAATATTTTTTATTTTAATATTTTAATTATTTTAATAATATTTTTGGCCCATGGGGCCCATAACTCAACCAACCTCTCCTCTCATCTCTTTCCATGTGTCTTCCTTCCTCATTCCTGAGGACTCTCGAACTCTCTTTGTCCCTCTCACTCTAATTCTCTCCTCCCTCTGTAACTACCGGCGCTGAGACAATCAGGCTGCCTTTTCATCCGGCGAGCTTCACCAAACCAACATCGGAATTCTCCTTTAACTCTCTCGCTTGTCTCTCTCTCTGCAAATGCAGAGATACCAGACCACCACCACATTACTCGGCGGAGTATCACACCATCCCCGTCCATCCTCATCAGCCGATCGAGGTTCACTCTTGTCTTAGTACTGAACCTAGACCTCGAGTTGCAAGCACGAATTCAAACTCTCTATCGCATGCTGCATAGTGGCTACCATGGCCACTGTTCATTGTCTTCTCTGGTGAGCTCGACGTTTCCGACTAGGTAAGGATCGAAAACCCTCAACTCTTGTCCTCGTCGTCGTTTACGTTGTTTTCCGAACTTATATGTGGACTTTGGTGACGAAATAACACAGAAACAACGAAGGGGAAACTTCCCCAGCTTTTCGGCAAGATTTCTCGAGTGTTGCAGGCTTTTCCAGCCATTTTTAGGCCACGGCAGGACCTAGTGATGGCATTCATTTAGTAAAATTTCAAAGTTTTAACGTAGTTGACCGTCAGGCGGTTCGATTGACCTTTTAGGGTTGACTGTTGACTTTTTATGAAAATTTATTAGGACCCTTCTTAGCGTATTTCAACGCCCTGATTCTAAATTCGCATTCCGTTTTCCCAAATTTAATCATTTTAGTTGAGTTTTACTGATGAGTCTCAATATTATGTTTAGGTGCAATTACTATCGGATACTCTGACTTTCCTCGTTCGAACGGCTACGACTTCGCAAATATCTATGAGTGGATCTTTTCTTTTATATAGTATATATATTATTTGAGTTTCCATACATAGATTAATAATGCTTTTTCTAAGTGATGCCATAATTAAATTGACATTATAGAAATTGTCGTGATGATGAAAATTGTGAAATTTTTATGAATCCTATGGGATGCACATGTATGCATATTATTACGTGATGCCTTATTTATATTTATGGCAGTGAATAGTATTATGTCGACTTAAATTATTGATTTACCGCTGTATGATTTTATTTACATTATCTGCTCATCATTGCTACACCAGTGTTAGTACTCGTCCGGGCCAAGGTAAGGCTTTACATTTATGTTCACATCGCACCGTATGCTCACTTTGGATCCATTGTAGGTGCCAGTCCTATCCTAGATTGCTATAAGTAATTAAGACTCATATGTGATGCGCATAGTGTCAGTCTTCACGTTATTGTAGTACTAGAGTGTAAATCATTATTACACCTAGTCATGTTCATATTAGAATATCTCTGCATGAACTCATGTGTAAGCATATGTTGATGAGCACTCGATATAATATGTTTGTTAATGCAAGATTATGTGATATCAATCGTATGTGTTTATTTACGCAATATTGCAACATATGGCATTTTTGTGATATTGCAGGCTATGGTAAATATTTTTATATTATACGTAATATTTATATTTTGGAAACTATATTTGTTTTACGTCGAGGGGTTATTATGTTTTCGAAAAGGTTTTTATAAAGCTTTATTTTTCAAGTCCACTCACCCTTATTTTTCGCCTCACCAGGATTTAATGGCAATGTTCGTGTTGACGAGGATTTATGATAAACGCGGATATCGGGGACTACTTTCGATGGTATAATTCTTATTCTAATTTTACTGTACTTTACTTCTGCTCTGACATCAAATGTGAAATGTGTTCATTCTTGCTCACAAGCGCATTCTTATATTTAGCCACTTTTAGGTTTAATTCATCACATTCCTAGTAACGACCAGCATAGCTCGATACAAAGTTGAAGTGAACATTCCAGATCCCAGTGTGTTAGATAGGATGATATCTCCATTACCGTTACAAATTAGAATTGTTGCGCCACAAATTTTATATTCATCATTTCAATCACACGTGAACAAAATATTAGCTAGAAAAATAAATTAAGTTCTTAATCTCTTGGATTTGCATGAATAGTCCCAGGCCTCTTTCAATCTTTGATTTTATAATTACAACATTCGATCCTTTTTTAAGCAACACTCTGTTTCTCCTATGCACTCCGCTCGCTCTCCTTTTTTTTTTCCCTATATATTTAAGATGGCATAAATAAACAAGAATTAATAATTAAATAAAATAAAAAATTACACATAGAGTATACTTTTAATACTTAATTGTATGTTAAGACAACACTTTTTAAACATTTTAAAGAGAAAAAAATAATAAATGTAAAAGATGGCATCATTTGCTTTTTTTTTTTTTCCCTCTAGAGTTTAACTTATGAAAAAACCCTTTATTTTTGGTATCTTTTCACACTTCTCTCCCCAGCTTTGAAGTTGTTCATGCTACCTAGATGCCTTGTTTCTCTGGGTTCAAACTTCAAAAAGATGATGTAGTATGTGGAGGTTGGGTATCAACACCTTTTTGCCGCAAGAATGAGCTTCCCATTATTAGTTGAGATTGACTAGTACAAAAGCTAAAACAATTATATTTACACTTGGGAATGAGACTTTAGAAAACCTAATTCAAATTTATTTATTTCTTCAAGTACATCAAATATGCCCTCAAACTTTTTAAAAGGATAAAAAAATTGATCCAAGTGAACAAAAGACCAAATTACAAAACAAGTGTCAAACGTATATCCTTATACATTTGGACATCGTTCATTCAACTTTCAAAGGACTGAATACATGATGGAGCCTGCATAAGAGAAATTAAATTAATACACAGTGATTAATTTAATTTGAAGGAAGATGTTACTTAACTTTGAAATTAATTTGATTGATAAAAAAGTAAATTCTTTGGAACTTACAAGTACCGAGTAAGAATCAATCTAACCCAACCCAACACAAACTAGGGTTCCCCATTTATTAATTCTTCTAAAACTATACAAACTGATTCTACTAAAAAATATATAAAACTGATTCAATTTTGTGCTCCACGATGCTCTTGAGTCTTCCGTAACCCTCACCTCTCTCGCATGAGTAAGAAAGTTGCAATTTATTTTTTAAGTATTAAAGTCAATTAAGTAGCATATTTTTTTAAAGTAAAAAGTATACAAAACTGATTTTACATGTATTTGAAATTGATTCTGCAAAAATGGTCGAAGACAGTTTGAACTGATTTTGCAAAAATGGTTGAAAATGGGTTAAATTGATTCTGCAAATATGGTCGAAGACGGGTTGACTGATTCTGTAAAAATGGTCGATGATAGGTTGAACTAATTTTACAGAAATTGTCGAAGAAAGGTTGAATTGATTTTGCAAAAATTGTCGAAGACGGTTAAACTGATTTTGCAAAAATGGTTCAGGCCTGATTGAACTGATTATAGTAATATATGATACAAACTTATACTACATATACTTTCTGTAGAAATTTTCAGGTCGACGGGCCGAGGGCCCACTCCAACAACACCGATACTGTCCCCACTTAACCACCTGCACAATCCTCAGGTGTGGGGTTTTATCACAAAAGGCCTCGATATTAGTTAGAGAGGGGTATTTCTATTTAAATATTAGTTAGAGAGGGGTATTTCTATTTAAAGCACTCTTATCTTCTCCCTCTGTCCGATGTGGGACTGGGGGTTCCAACACTCCCCCGCACGTGAGACCCTACTTATGGGTCACACGTGAATTTCCACACATTGGCAATCACGTGGAGCCATGTCGGGACTCACCCAATCACGTGGTGCCAATGGGGACCCACCCAAACACGTGGCATCTTTGGCCTACGTGGACAATCACACGGGGCCAACGGGGACCCACCCAATCACGTGGCAGTACGGGTCCGCCTCCTGGCTCTGATACCATGTAGAAATTTTCAGGTCGACGGGCCGAGGGCCCACTCCAACAACACCGATACTGTCCCCACTTAACCACCTGCACAATCCTCAGGTGTGGGGTTTTATCACAAAAGGCCTCGATGTTAGTTAGAGAGGGGCATTTCTATTTAAAGCACTCTTCTCTTCTCCCTCTGTCCGATGTGGGACTGGGGGTTCCAACAGTTTCAAAACTTGTTCTACATCAATAGTCGATGATTGGTTGAGCTTATGACACATATTAATTTTGTTGGAGTTGTGAGGGTTGGGTTTTATTAAAAGCCTAAAATCTTATGGGTATGGTTGGTATTTTCAAACATTGTTTCATGTTTTTGAGCTGAGCTTTATGTATTTTTATACTTTTATCTTTATTTGACATGTTTCAAAACAAATGGAGTTCCTTGAAATATAGTAAAAATTATTTTTTTCTATATATAAAGCTCCCAAAATAAAATGCAGATGGAAAACTGGAAAAAATAATCTTGCTTGCCTATCTTACTCCAAAAAAAAAAAAAAAAAAAAGAATAAATCAAGTTAGAATAAATACAGGTCCTACATCACGTTCTCACTTGTCATTTAGAGATGGGATGTGATATTCATACACTTTCTTTACTTTTCACATATCTTTCTGATTTTCGATCGTTAGATTGAATGAATTAAATAATATCAAAAAATAAAAATTAATAAAAAGTATGTGAGAAATAAAATATAGTATGCGGATAGTACACTCTTAGAGATAATGTCATCTCCTGACGGCTGAAAGCAAACATCTGAAAAGTCCTGCACTTTACAAAAGTCATCGATTATCTAGAAGTCAACAATCTACACCGATTCTCTAGAAGTCAACAGTTTGCACCATGGCTTTGGACGCGTTTGCGTCTGCGATAAAATACTTCCCTTAAGCCTCAATTTCCAGGAAGTTCATTCCACTAACTACCTTTTTGAAATTGGTGAAACTCCGAACGCTATATATAACAACACACCTCTTCCATCATTCCGCAATCAACTCCCTCACTTGAAAATTTCATCGTTTAAAACTCAAAGCTAATCACTTCTATATCAGAAAAGAAGAGACATGGCTGAGAAGACCCAACAGGCTTATCCTTCAGCCCCAGAAAACCATGGCTACCAAAGAAGTGATGCAGAGTCTTTGCTATCCGCTGATGAGCTGAAACGGAAGAAGAGAATCAAATTGGCCATTTATGTTGCTATTTTTGTTGTGTTTCAGATCATTGTCATAACTGTGATTAGTCTCACAGTCATGAAAGTTAAGACCCCCAAGGTCAGGCTAGGCAACATCAATGTCCAAGAGCTCACCTCTGTCCCAGCAACGCCTTCATTTGACACAAAATTCACAACACAAATCAGGGTCAAGAACACAAACTGGGGTCCTTACAAGTTTGATGCTAGCACTGTCACGTTTCTGTACCAAAGCACAGCTATCGGACAAGTTGTTATTCCAAAGAGCAAGGCGGGAATGCTTTCCACCAAAAAAATGAACGTTGAGGTGAGCTTGAGTTCAAGTGCATTAAGCAGTTCCAATTTTGGGAGTGAATTGAGCAGCGGAGTATTGACTATCAACAGCACGGCTAGATTGACGGGAAAGGTTGAATTGATGCTTATAATGAAGAAGAAGAAGGCTTCCACCATGGACTGCACCATTGCATTCGATCTGTCATCCAAGACGCTCAAAAGTTTGCAGTGCAAATGATAAGAGACTTCCAAGATGAAGATTATTACTATTATTTGTTTATTCATGTTTCTCAGTGTACGCCTTGGATTTATTGTAGATGGTACTTTCTTTTTTCTTTTATATGATTGAACATAGAAACATATGCTTACAAATCATCTTCCATGCATTCACAAAATTCTAACAATACAAGATATATAGTTTCAAACATTTCAAATCTGAGTTGAGCAGCGGAGTGTTGACTCTAAGCAGCAAAAGCTAAAATGTCTGGGTGGCCGCAATGGACTATACCATTGCATTTGACTTGTCCACGATGATTGTCTAAACTTGCAAGACTAGTACTTCTTCGTTACCTGCCTTATACGTTTAAATGCTAACTTGAGCATTACAATCTGAAAGTGTCCATGCAGATAAAAGTTTTGAAAGAAACTAGCAAGTCGGCAATTAATTAGGTGTAGTCATATGGTCTCTAAGCATGCAACAACTAGGCAAAAATAAGAGCCAGTATCGTAAGTTATTCACTAAACAAAATTCTTTCTTACATAGCATGAGCAATGTTAAAGGGACCACATTAACAAGGCATTTTATGGAACATGTTTACTTACTGCATCAACTATTATCTATTATGACAAGTTAGTAATAAGTGAACACATCACCTAATAGATAGATGACCCGCAAATGTGGTCTTGGATCTCTAGATTAAAGATCATCTACAATTATATATACTCTTCTTGTGTAGTGTCAAGCACCAATTTGGCATGAGTTAGACATAACAGAACGTGAGTATACAATTCATAATTAACTAATAGTAATAGTGAAAATTTTAAGCACGTGCAATATTCGTATGAATATGACATTATTTGCCACATGCACGCGGGCGCACGTGCACATATCGGGGGGGGGGGGGGGGGGGGGTGGGGATAATCAGTTTTTGACACATTTTGTAGGACCCCATCTCGTTCTGTATTTCAAGGATCTAACCGTGTATCTTTTGGGTTTTCCCTCAAAGATCATGTGTACCAAAAGTCATCCAAATCCTAAACTATATGACTGTTGATAGTCATTTTAGTGTTAATGTCTTTCTTCTTCATTTCAAATGAATGTCTTAATGGTTTCTGAGTTCTCTAATTTTCGGCAAGAATGATTTATGAATGATGAATTGAATATACACGGTTCAAATTCTTGAAAAAAGTTATGGAATAGACCCTACAAAATGTGTGACAAAATATGTGTAAATATACATATAGATATATCTATATATCCTACCCTATATATATTCCACAAAATAATTTTCTTTCACTGTAATGAGGAACTTAGGTAGCCAAAAAGTACTTATCAATATTTGGCAACGATTTTCTTCCTTGCCTCAACTATACAGGGACAAAAGTTATAGTTCGTTACAGGGCGAAATATATAAACTGTATTCAACAATATGTAAAATACGAATAAAACAACGCTATTAACAATGACTAATACAAAAAGTCAGAATTCAACAAGATGACTTTCGAGTGAATGAGGCAGGAACAAAGCACTGCTTGCTTCACTCCCAACTCCTATTTGCCATTGAGCTCTACTATGCTTATTCACCGATCCTATGTCTCATCTACCAATTAATAAAAATGTTCTTCATATACTCATACAAGGTGCATAAGTGGGAAAATAAGACATGGGTGGGCATAGCTGTTTGGGTCATAAATAATAATAAGGTCTGCTATAGGGTTTATTCATTTTTAATTACGTCAAGTCACAGGACTTTGGCCTACTAGTTTCCAATTCCAAACCAGGGATCAGATGACCATCTTGTTTCTCTCTAACTTGTCGCATTTGCCAAGTAGACAATCAAGGCTCGAGAATATCTCGGCCCCTTAAATGCATACGCATGCATCATCCAACACGCTGAGATCATTATTGCTATTGGATGAACCGCCTTAAGACACAGCTAAAGGCCATCTAACTAAGAATTACAGCCACAACCATCACCAAATGACCGATCTACCCTACTCCAACTTAGAGATAGGATTGAGGTTGCTTTTTTTTCCCTGCCTATAAATAGAGCCATAGCCCTTCAGGCTTAGGACCTTTGTCAAATTCAATCTCTACAATTAAACAAGACATTGATTGATTAATCAATCAACCCAACTGCTTTTCAGCACAAACACAATTGCTCTTCAGCAAACCTTTCTTAGCTCTTCAGCAACAATCTCAAAGCCTTCCTTTGAAGCAAACACTACCTATGATCCCTGAGATTAAAACTTTTACAACTCTATCGCCCTGTGGTATGATTCAGTTGATGTGCAATTCCAACCTCCCTAATTCCCTATCTAAGGTCCATGTTTAGTACTAAGTCCAACTCAACACCAACGATCTCAGTGGACTTCTCTAGCATTATCTTGCCTTTCATGGCCTAAATATTGCTAAAGTTTATTGCTTTCTTTACATTTCTAATCAATTTGCATTTCAAGTCATATAGCTCGGCCCATCAGCCTAGATTTTACTTTTGTAAACATTTGTAATCTTGACTCCATCATGAAATGATTAAATTTTGTTTCTCGTTTTAGTTTCTATTTCGCTTTCATTTACTTTTTAGGCAAGCTTAGACAAAGAGTGCTTGTTCACTTGAGGCATAGAAAATAACTTAATCAAACAAGCATTCCACTCTTGTGCACATTCATTTGGTTAAGAAGTCTGATTTACGTGCAACTTTCATACACACTCAAACATAAACACTGTTTGTTGGTAGCCTCCAACAGTGGAACACCTATTCTCTCTTTCTCTCGAGCCATCTCATGGCACTGAGATTGAAACCAACCACTCGGAGAAATACTTGTTGAACCTAGTCCAAACTTTGAACAAGTTTTGGCACCAACAATAGCAATAACCTTGGTATTTATAGAACCTTGTTGAATCAATGCTATGTTTGAAGTGGCCTCTTTAGAAGTTCCCTTAATGTTAACGTTACAAGAAGTTCGAAATGTTTTTATTCACTTTAAAATCTTACTTCATAATTAAAGTGTAAGTCGGTCGGAAATTGTCTGGTAAAAATCAAGCTACAGCCATAGTAAAACGAAAGACGACATCTAGTGATTAGAAAACCAAAGTAGCATTATGTACAACTATATAGGAAATGTAAGGATCAACGAATTCAAAAAAAAAGGAAAAACTAATGAAAAAGATTTGAAAACTTTGAATTTTAAAGATAAGGACAAAATAAAGGGTAAAGTGAATAGTACCAGAATTGACTTTTTAGTGTAAAAATGTGGTTTTCCGTTAAAGTGAATAGTACCACGGGCTTTTCGTTAAAACTTCTTAAAAAAAAAAAAAAAATCCAAAAACTAATCTTGACCACTCGCAAAGATATCTCTATATACTAAAACTCAGTAAGGTGGTACTGTGGATGACTAGTGGACGGATGTTTTTGCCCCTTGGTTTCTCCTTGCTCACCCGCTTTGTCGCCCTTTGCGTACAGTGGAAAGACGGTTTTGCCCGTTCTTTCCACGCGTCCGTCATCATTGATATCTCGGCTTCGAGTTTGAGAGTCATCTTCTGCTTTTAACCCTTTGTTTCTTCTGGTCCTTCTTTGATTCCTGCCTTATTCTAGCTGTGTTCTTCTACGATTGTTTGTTCTTCTTAAATATTGTGGTCTCTGCATTGAAAAATATTGGGGGAAAGTTCCTGCTTTTCGTGTTTTAAGGGATCTTATTTCTGGTCTCTGATTTGAGGAGGGTTTTGCATCTTTTTAAACATGGAGTTGTGGGTGTTTTGTCCATCCTCATAAAATTGGTCTCTATTTCTAGAGTTGCGATCGGGGGGCAAATATTTCGCAGTTTTTGCGTTCATCTTTGTCTAGGATTCGCGAATCTTGGCCGGATCTGTTTCCTGTTTTCTTCTCTGTTTGAGCGCCAGCTGTCTTTAGATTGTTGGGAAATAAATTTTATACAGCTGAGGTGTGATTCATAACTACTGTCTTTCAATTTTTATTCTGTAATTTTGTTAGTTTGGATGAAACTGTAATAATTTTGTTTTGGGTTAGTTGTGGTCTTCAAGAGCAATTCTCCGTTTGGTGTCATTTTGAACATCACAAGAGCCGCCTCCCTCCCCACTGCTTCCAACATCTCCTCTCCTTCTGTGGCTGACTGTGGATGTTTGTCTTTCTTCTCTCCTCTCTTTTTATTTATTTATATATTTATTTATTTTGTAGATTTTTTTTGGAAATTAAGATTGACTGCTTACTTCTTCTTTTTTCCTATTTGTTTGTTGTTTTTTTAGTATCTGCCACTTCTGCTAGAGCCCCTGGTATGTCGTTGTTATTATGTTAATGCTGCCCTGATATTTGTTTGTTGTTTTTTTAGTGCATGAGATCGATCTTTGTTTTATTATTATTCTTAAATTTCGTCATGACTGACCCATTTTTTCCAACTCTACTTTAATGGTTTTCAAGGAACCAGTTTGCATATGCATTGATAATTGTTGGATTAAAATGGATTTGTATTTTTTGGGAAGAAATGATAAGAAGAAGAAATTGAAAGGGTAAAGTTTCATATTTTGGTATATAATTAGATGAAGAAAGAGAAAATTACTTGGTAAAAATTTGAGCTTTAGCTACTTCATGCAAATTCAGGTTTCCTTTGCATTTGAATGAGTTGGAAACTGAGTGGAAAATGTTGAGAGAGAGAGAGAGAGAGAGAGAGAATTGTGTTGGGACTTTGGTAAAGATTGAACTTTGGTGGTAAGCTAGCTGCTTTAAGCTCGCACATGGAAACCCAGCAACATATAGAGAAGTAGACTGAATTGGCCTTTTGAATAAGTTTGAAATGAGTTGGAAACTGAGTAGAAAAATGTTATAGAGAGAAACAGAGAATGTGATTTGATAATTGGTAATATGATCAATACTTGGGGACATGTATATTATATCAAATTAGATTAGAATTTTCTGATTAAATTAGATTAAAATTTGATCATATAAAATATAACAATTTATACATATTGGAAATATGCATTAAAAAGTTTAAGTCTGAAATTACATGGATTAGAATGACTTTTCTAGATGCTTAAATGCTTTTTACTAAAGAGTGTTTTGTGTTTCTACTGCCGATAACCAAATGTTGTAAAGTATACCTTAATATATATTCTATGCTGGTAAGCAAAGAGGTTTTTCGTT